AGACCCCCCCCCCCCCCCCCCCCCCCCCCCCCCGGTGCAATTTGCTTTAAAGATGGTTTTTCTTATCTATTAGTGTCAAATTAAGAAAAATATTTGATTAATTTGTGTTTCTAATGAATCACCATGTATTCTTAATCATATCATAATGTTCTTATTGCATGTAAGTACAGCCTGGAAAAAGACTTTTGGTGCAGCAGGAGCCACAGTATAGCAACGTCAGTGATGGAAACCGGTCAGTCTAAGTGAGGGAGCCAGGTTGACGTCCGAAGTCGAATAGAATCATTCACCATCTAGAATTAGTGGTTGTAAGTGAGAAAGGTATTTTTTGCTCAATGTTGCGGCTAGCCGGCTGGTATTCAGCCAAGCCAGTCACAGCCGCCTAAGGTCTTGGCATAGCTGTAGCCAGCTGATACATCCCCTCAGTCAGCCGATAATGTAAATTCCTCAAGCGCTCACTTTCTAGTTTCCAGTTTTACTTTCAAGTTTTTGATCTTTGTTATTACTGTGCAATTCGAAATACATACAGTCAAAATACATTTCCGCTCCCTTGACACAAAAAACAAGCTAAGTCAACCTCAAGTATAAATGCTAGGCCTAGGCCTACTTATTAGGTCGGCTACTTGTAAACCACACCTATGGAAAAAAAGATATCTTGAACAACTTACATAAACTTTAAAAAGGGATGAAAACGAATAAACTATTATTATCAAAAGTAAGCTAACAGTCTTGATACTATATTGAGATTGAAATGGAATGAGGCTTATGGTATGGCTTTTTTATTTATTAGATTAGGCCTATTGTGGTCTGAATTGAACTTGGTGGAGCATTCAATAATGCCCCTTTCCAAGATGGCTTCCACGTAACTACGGAAGCTACAAAAGTACAATATCAGTGTATCCTATCTATAATTTCTGGTGTCGAGATTGAAATATATAAGGTAACTGCTCATTTTAAAAATCAGTTCTTGGTGTCTATTGTCATGTTTCTAACTTGTTTCAATGCTCTAAATACTTAGGTACCTCTGTGTTCCTTCCTCATTTGGTTATGTGTACCAAACGGTAAGTCAAGTGTTGAAATATTATTAAAGATAAATACTAAGAAATGATAATTATACACCTTTATCTTTAATAATATTTCTTTATAACTATAACTACCTATAATGACAATTCCTTCAAAGAACAATGATCTAAAAAAAATAGTGACTGACAAATTAAGATAAGGAAAACGTGTTTTACCGGTATTACTAAAAGTCATTGAAACAACAAAAGAATATAGCCCACTGTGTTCCAAAGAATTTTTCTGCTGACACAGAATCCACTTATATGTCATGTGACTTCGTTCACTGGAATATATTCTAGCAGATGACACTTGGAATTCCGATTATAGCTTGAGAATATAAGGAAACTTTGTCGATAAAAAATTGTGATATTTGGTAATAGCTGAAATAACTGTAGGCTATATATTAAAAATAAATACTAAATTTGAATGGCTTTAAAAAGACTAGAAAAAAGGTTGACGTTGAGATAATCTATGTTTATCAAATCATGATAATGCGGAGGTCATTAGAGGTCACACATGTAAATTATAAAATGCACGAATTTGAGGTTAGCACGAAATTTGGTTACTTGACTGTATGATAGACTATGGATCTATAACTTTAACATTACATTTTGTTCCTTGAAATGAACTACTACAACCATATTTTCCTGCTCAGGGAATGTATGTGAGGGAACCATTGGAAAACACAAGGTGGCCATAACAATTTAGCCTACTGTCTCGCATCCTCTGCAGAATTAAAAACATTCAGCTACTGTACTTGAGGTTGCAATCTCAATGGTGCATAAATGCATGGTGCATGATATTTGCAATGCAATTAAAAAGTAGGATGTAAAACTCCATTCAGTTCATTTTCATTTTTGCAATGCAATATTACAGAAATTAGTATCTGGTAAGCCTATGTAAGCCTAAAGAGAATATGTTCACATGACGAGAAATACTCCAGGAGCATTTTATACTATCCTTGTTTTACCAGTTGTGATGGATATAAGAATCAGCGTTATTTTCTCTTTGCTACACACTTTTTGCTGGCGATTATTTTATAAAACCATAAATAAAATATGATCAGAAATCTATATTTTTCCAAACATGACAATTTTATGACATGTGTTTGTGGGTAAAAATAGCTTTCAGTCAAAACAGGGAACGTCATGATATATTATGATGAGTAAATATACTTTTACTAGACCTCATCAGGTGAAACAGATATTGTCACTCTTGTCTCTTTACTTTTAACTGAATTATGTTTATAACAGCAAAAGTATTCACATGCCAGCATAAGTAAATGACTTATGTAAGTAGCCTACATGTACAAGCTTATATAAGTAAAAGTGTTCATATAAATGGGCTGAAGTAGTTCAGATTGCCAAATTTGAAAGCTTATAAAGATTTTAATTAAAAAAATTTAAAAAATGTTTGTTTTAAAACTATTTCAGATTAGACAATAAAAAGATAAAATGTGAAGTTACAATATAAGAAAAATACCAACTGGTACTGGTGCTAAAGCTTTCATCAACGAATCACCATGGCAGCTACATATTTAACAGAAGATTTTGTAGAGAAGAGACTTCGTGCCTTAAAATCCTTACAAGATGGTTGGGCTGTGGATCAATACGGAACAGGAAAGTTCTACGAACTTGACCTCAAAATGTGTCAAATTAAAGATTTAAGCTATAGCTTTGAATGGGGAAAAGAGAGGTAATGTGGAATTTTTTTTTTAAATACAACAAACTAATGTTATATTTCTTGCTGTGTTAAATTTGTAATTAAGTATTTTCTTCCAAATACAGAAAACCATGTTTTAAGGACCCATTTAAAAAATGAAAGTTAACACACTGATTTACAAGTGGTTGTCAATTAGTGTATAATTTTGCCTCTTGTCATTTTAACTGATACAAAAATGTATTTTTCCATTTGTTTGCAGGGGAATTACTTCAAGAACAAGAAAGTTGACAGAAGTTCCTTCAAAAATATTGGTCTTAGATATATCATTAAATGAATTAATAGCTTTGCCTGCAGAAGGTTTAATGCCTTTTAAAAATCTAAGAGCTTTAGATGCTTCTCTTAATCAAATAACTAGGTAAGATTTTATGTGTATTTATTCTTAATTAAGCTTTTATTCTACACATCTGTCAGTCTAGAATTGATTGTGAATAAACAGACACTAGATATATTTGATGACAATTGATTTAATTAGCATTGTTTATTTACACTAGATAGGCATTAGATGGCTCCTGACCACATTACACTACCAGTAATCAATATTTTTTTATTTTTGAATTCGTATAATAGTACAGTGTACGAGGTTTATCATTTTCATCTGCAGAAAAAGGAACATTGAACCTTGTATAATATAATATTTTATATATGTGTTATTACAAGGATACAAGGTTTTGATGACAACTTCCGCGCTTTTATGAGCTTTGGAATGGTACCAAAAAGTCAAAATGTGGCTTGTAGGCATGATAGAGGCAACAGGATTTATGCAATCTAGATGAAACTCAGTTTGCATGTATATATTGATAATATCTTGAGTTTGATTGGAAATTGGATGAACGGTTTTGGAATTATTGACATAAAAGGCTTAAAATTTGCCTTGTAGGACAGAGACAACAGTTATTATACAATCTTGATAAAACTTAGTATTCATGTATATATTGATGAGATCTTGGACAGATTCGAAATTGGTAATAATCAGATGAATGGTTTCCTTGACTCAGCCAAACGCAAAACTCAAATGTGGCTTGTAGGTATGATAGATGCTGTGGGATTTATGCTATACAGATGAAACTTAGTTTGCAATGCTTGGAATGCATGTACATATTGATGATATCTTAGTCCAGTTCGAAATTGGTATTAATCGGATGAATAGTTTCAGAGTTATTGCCCTTGACTTAGTCGAATTGTGTCAAATTTGGCTTGTAGGTATGCTAACTGATCCTGATGAAATTTAGTTTGCATGCATTAATTGATGACATCTCAATGAGGTTTGAATTTAGAATCAATCTGATGAATGGTTTTGGAGTTATTGCCTGGACTTCATAAAAACGCGTCAAATTTGGCTGGTAGGCACGATAGAGATTATAGTTTTTATCTGATCTCGATGAAACTTGGTATTTATGTATGTATTGATGCGATCTCAGTCAAGTTGGAAATTGGTAATAATCGAATGAATGGTTTCAGAGACATTGCCGTTGGGTGTACGTTAACCTTGTTCATGTTTGAATTTGATTATAATTGGATGAATTGTTTTTGAGAATTTGCCTTGACTTAAAATATTTTTAAGATAATTTGAAAAATAAAGCCTCTAAAATAGTTATCATTTCTGACAGCTGGTAGTGGTGGTATATTACCTTGCCTGACAATCTTTTATAACAATTTATTTAAGTGGATCTACATGCATTTGAGCATAAAAACAAGACAAACAAAACCCCAGCCCGAATTTTATTTGCTTGTGGAGTATCATATTTTTGACTATCATTAAGATATCAATTTCAGCTTCCAAGGAATTGAAGTATTACCTATGCTATATAGTTTAAATTTATCTCATAATCTGATACGAAATGTTGCTGGATTAATTAATAGTGGATCATTAGTAGAGCTGAATCTTAGTATGAACAATATTACTGATTTATCGAGAATGCCAAGCATGATCAATCTTAGAGTACTCAATATCAACAATAATGATGTAAGTATTGAAATATTTACTTGAATTAATGTATAATATGAAAAGAAAGGTGTCATAAGTTAAAGGGGTATACCTGTCTCATGTTTGTTATTTCGCAATTCCATGTGCAATATTACCAATATTACTTGAGAAGTGAGGAAAGTCTTCTGAATGGCTGGATAAACTGGTTTGAATTTTGACTTTGTTCAGTTCCTCAAAAATTATATGTCATTTTCAGATCACTTCTCTTGATGGTGTATCTTCATTACCGAAATTAAAAGAATTGTATGCACAGAGAAACAATTTGGTATGGTTTATTATTAGTACTTGGGGTGTGATAACTTGATTCATGTGATGGCATGTTAGCAAACACTTTATAGGAGCATTCTTTTTCTGAAAATAAACTTAGTTTGTATCTAGTTTAAAGTGTTAAATGCTTTGAAAAAGCCCCTCTGTACTGATTAAAGTGGTGGATGCATCTTGGTGTTCATTTTCAAGAATGCATCTTCAAATTTGTTAACTTGATAAGAATTTATATTTTTTAGGTCAGTATTCTACATTTAACAAGTTGTTTTAATTTACAAGTATTAAATGTAGCTGATAATAGAATACATCAAATGGAAGGTGTTACAGATGTTTTATCAAGATTAAGCCACTTACAAGCTCTCTGTTTACATGTATGTATCAAGAATTTTGTTCGTTTACATGCATATATTTAGAACATTTAGTTTTCAGCATATAAGCAACTCAAAATGCAGAAATTAGGGGAGAGGGACTTGTCCTAAACTGTTTTGAGTAAACATGTGCCAACATTGTTTGATATCACTCTTTCTTTTTATTTCTTTGAATTTTATGTTTACTTGCTCTTGAATGAAAAATTTAGTTGTCACAAGTAAATAATCTTTTTACATTTGTTTTTTTTATCAAACATTTTCTCAATAGAAATTAATGAGTAGAAAAATAGAGTGATTAGGGTAGTGATATCTTGAGCCATTACTAGATATTGTAGGATCCAACCATAACTTTGTGAACAAACATTTTTCAGTATGTAATGTGTGTGACTATATAAGGTTTGAGCTGTTAAAATATGTTTTTAATTTGTATTTTAATTTTTAGGGTAATCCAATTGAAAGATCATATGATTATCAAAGTGGAATATTATCATGTAGTAGTGTTATGACTTTAGATAATATCTCAGTTAGACCCCTAGCAAGGAAACAGGTAATAGAATATATCTACCGGGGTATTTGGAGATTTCAAGGAAATATCTGTATCCTTATATTCTGTCATCTATGATATCTGTATTTACATCCTTATATTCAGGTCATATTCATGTAATATACAAGGCTGAATGAAATTATATGACAGGTTAAAGTTAGGGTTAAGAATTCATTAGTTCATTTATTTTTCCAAACTTCTTCCCTCATTTTACACCTCTGCTGGAATATGATTTGTCCATTTCTTTAACATCAAAAATATGATTCTAGGTTCCCATGAGAGATCCCCATTCTGAGAATATTTCTAGTTTACAAGAGGCAGCAAGACAAGCTTTTGATGAGAGAATCCGAGCTACAAGAAGCAAAGTTGATGAAAAGATCAGATTCTTACAAAAGAGAATAATGTAATGTAATGTAATGTAATGTGATGAATAGTAAACAGACATTAAGTTTGTTCAAACTCTGAGCTTAAAGCTGTATTAGCCAACTAAAAAAACTGCAAAAAAAGTTCAGTTGTCGGACAGTAGTTTTATTATAGAAAAGTCAGCAGAAAATATTTCGGCAGTAGGAAGGTATTCTGGTCGATTTTATTTAAAATTTTATTGATTTTGTATGTGTGAATAAATTTATTTTTACCTCTAACAGAGCAATACAAGATGAACAAAAGAATTTTGAAGCAAAAATGAAAACTGATTTAGATGGTTGTTTAAGGTAGGATTACTATCAATAGATATGGGACTTTCTAACTGCAAAAATAAGCTTATCCTCCAGGATGTGCAGTGCTCTGAAAAGTAGAGAAGATGAATTAGTGCTTTTGTATTGGCAAAATTTTCTTCCTAGTATGGAATGTTTTCATAAGCTAAACTAATGGTAATATTTGATGTTATCTTTCTAAAAAGGTTCTGCCAATATGGCAATCCCACCTATGAAACATTAAAGTAAACGTTCTTCAATCTTCCCGAGGGTATTTTACAAGTCCAAGTTTGCTGTATTTTAGATATTTAGGAACACTGACTGATGGAGAAGTTGAAAAAGTTAAAGATAAAGATACATTTTCCACTGAATTTCCTACAGCAAGAGATGGGGTAGGTTTATTCTTTTTTTGCAGTGTGCCACATTGAATTAACATGTATTTAAATGTTTATTTCATTGTCAGAGACAATACTAACAGTTCTGGCGTGCAAGAAATGTTTTCAGTGGTTTCAGATTTGTATTTCATGTGTTTATTTTTTTAATGTGTTTATGTCCTAATCTTCATATTTATAGTATGGTTAAAAATTGTAAAGTTTGTTTCATTACTTTCAAGGTACACTTTATGTAATTTTTGTAAAATTTTAAATATGTATTTTGATTAAATCTTACATAACCTGTATCATTACTAGTCTGATATAAAAGGATTTTGATGCCAAAGATATTCTCCAATCTAACATATGTCCAACAAGCTCCTTTCTGTATTTTTAGATGAGAACATATCGTAGCAACTATAAAAGAGATAAAAATGACTATACTGGTGTTAAAGATACAGATGAGGTCTGGGTTATTATATTTTTTTCTTAATTTAAAGAGCACATTACTTTAATTACTATACCAGACAGAGATATCTGCTCTTTGTTTTTTTGGGACATTTCAAAACATAAAAAGAAGCAGTAAATTTGTTTTGGTATTAGAGAAATATAAATTGTGTTCAGTTGCCTGAAAATTATAAGAACTGTTCATTTTTCAGATTTGAATTGTCCCCAGATGCCCATAAAATTGTTTAAAATTAATGGTAACATGAAATTCTTACAGTAAAGGACAGTGCCCATTCAATGCCTACACCAAATTTAGTTAAGCCTAAAAAATTACGAAACTGTGCAAATCGTGCAAATTGATACAAATTTTATAATGAATTGTTTTATATGTTTTAGGTTTTAAGATGTGCCTACAATGAATTATCAGGTGAACAGTCTACTAATTGGGAAGATATCTAAATGAATATAATTATGTTAACTTCATTCTTTGTCTTGTTTGATTTATATGCCTTATTACAGTATTTCAACCCTTTTCTTTTTGGACAAAACTTACTATTTTCATTCATATCAGAACATTTGTTAGTTTCTGGAGCTCTTGAATCTTTTTGACAGTACTGACAGACGTAACCCAGTCAACTTACTTGCTGCCTGATATCCATCTAAAATTTAGACTTGGATAAGAGAGAAGTTATACACCTTCATTGGTCAAACATATTCACCTGTTTTATAAATCATTCAGTTAGCAAATTTTGACATTTTCATGAACATTACCATTGCCTCAAAATCTTTATTTTGAGGACACCAGTCTGGAGGTCAGGTCAAACTTTCAACTGTGTTTTGTTTTGTCAATTTTCACAAAAGATCTCTAAAATATTGTGTTTTTCATCTTTTCATCATATAACAAAACACAGACAATATTATGGAATATAACACACTTCTTATTGTCTTGTGTTTTTGTTATATGTGCTCCTCGGTTCTATATGTAGTTCAAATCTTACATCTTTTCATCATTAGTTGCTATTTAGCATAATCATTTCAATACATTAGCTAAACATTGAATAAACTGAACAATGTTGTCTTATGTTCAAGGGAACATATTTATATAGTTCTTTCTTGCTCAAAAAACCTTCATCAATAATTATTTTATTCATGATTTGTGGTGTTGTTATCCTAATATTTCATTCAATTTTTAATTTTTTTCTGATAGACTTTTAACTGTGATATTTTTGTATGTTTAAAACATACCACAAGTGGTATGTCTAAAATATTGTTTATGTCATATAAAAATATTGTTTTATGACAATTTTTTTTAAGTCAAAATGGTGGTAAATAACGATATCAATGGTACCATATATATACTATTTTTTCTAATGACTTTTGGTTACAGTTTGAACATAATTTCTGCAGCTGTCAATGGTAAAGACCACTTAACAATTGGAAAATCAAATAAGATTAGACTTTGGCAAAATTTCTCCTTGATTTAAACGTCCTGAACCTCCTGGATAGTTGGAAACTCAAATATGTCCAACGAGCAACTGCTCAATGATTAATTGTCTGTACCTCCACTATCTCACTATGTTCCCTATCTCGTATGAGATAGAAGAATTGAATATGAACTCAGTACAATAATTAGTGTAGCTAAACATAGCATGCTCACTAATTAGAAACTGGAATGAGGTGCCAATATGACTGAGTGAGTTTGTCAACTCATTTGGAAAATCCACAAAATCCATAAGGCCGAGGATATTCGCCACCCGGGTGGCAAACAATTATTCGCCACCCTCATTTTTTTTTTTGCCACCCGTTTTTAAAACTTTAATTTCTCTGAAGACTGACATTATTAGCTGTTAAGGCTATAGCGTTACATGCATTATAATGTTTTTTTATGTTCATTAGAAACGCTTATTTGCAATTCCTCTCAAGAAAATGTATGAAAATAACACCTACTTGTAATTGATAATCGCTGTCCCATTGGATGGCTATTTATAGTCAACCGGTGTTAAGTCAATTTGGCCACCACTTTTTTGAATCACTTCTATGAAATTTAGTCTCGATATTTATGTCACCTACAAACCTCGCGTGGCTCTGCCATTTTTTTTTTTGAGGCCCGGAAGCGTTTTTTCTTGACATTTTCCGGCGGATTTAAGGATTTTTTATATAGTGTGTGGGAGATCCCACCCTTTGAAGATTTTTAGAATCGGATTCACAAAAACGCGAATTCCGTACATTCCCTACTAGTTTAAGCAAAAGCTGAGGTGGTTAACAAGAATTGTCGATGGTACACAAGAATCGTCAGGGGTAAACAAGTATTGGGGGTGGTAAACAAGATGTGAGGGTGGTGAACAAGAGCTGGAAGTGGTAAACAAGAACTGCGGGTGGTGAACAGGAACGGGGGGTGGTAAACTAGACCTACGAGTGGTAAAGAAAGACCGAGGGTGGTAAACAAGAGCTGAGGGCAGTAAACAAGATTTTTGGGTAGTAAACGGGAGCTGGGTTAATGAATAACATCTAGGGTAGCAAAAAGGGGCCGAGAGTGGTTAACAAGATCCGAGAGTGGTTAACAACAACAAGAGCTTCGGCTGGTGAAGAAGAGCTTAAGGTGGTTAACAAAAGTTGAGGTTGGCAAACAAGAATGGTGAGTGGTAAACAAGTATTGGGGGTGGTAAACAAGAGCTGAGGGCGGTGAACAAGAGCTGGAAGTGGTAAACAAGATCTGCGGGTGGTAAACCGGAACGGAGGGTTGGCAAACTAGGCCTGCTGGTGGTAAACAAAAAGCGAGGGTGGCGAACAAGAGCTGAGGGTGGTAAACAAGAATTGTGGCTGTTAAACTAGAACTACGGGTGGTAAACAACAGCTAGGGTGGTAAAAATAACCCAGGGTGGTGAACAATAGCTGATGGTGGTAAACAAGAGCTGGGGATGGTGAACAACAACTAAGTAGGTGAACGAGAGCTTAGGGTGGCAAACAAGAATTGTGGGTGTTACACAAGTATTGTGGGTGGCAAACAAGACCTGGGGGTGGTGAACAACAGCTATGTTAATGAAACAAGAGCTGAGTGTGGTAAACAAGTATTGAGGATGGTAAACAAGTATTGAGGATGGTAAACAAGTATCGAGGTGGTAAACAACAGCTAGGTTAATGAAACAAGAGCTGAGAGTGGTAAACAAGTATTGAGGGTGGTAAACAACAGCAAAGTTAATGAAAAACAACTAGGGTGGTAACAACGAGTTGGGGTGGTAAACACGAACTAAAGGTGGTATACAAGAAATGATGGCAGTGAACAACAGGTAGGGTGGTGAACAAGAGCTGAGGGTGGTAACCAAGAACCCAGGGTGGTGAACAGGAGCTGGGTATGTTAAACAAGAACCGAGGGTAGTGAACAACAACTAGGACCGTGAACAAGAGCTTATGGTGGACAAGAGTTTAGGGTGGTAAATAAGAATTGTGGGTGGTTAACATGAACAAGAACTGTGAGTGGTTAACAAGAACTGTGGGTGGTTAATACGTATTGTGGGTGGTAAACAAGTATTTTGGATGGTAAACAAGAGCTGGGGGTGGTAAACAGGAATTGTTGGTGGTTAACAAGAACTTACTTCCTTCAGCTCTTGCCTCCTATCCCCAATTTTTGTTTACCACCCTTACACATTACTTACCACCCGTTAGTATTGTGTATTGCCGTACGCCTTATTAACACCCGTATACATTACTTACCACCCGTCAGTATGGTTTATTATCGTACGCCTTATTACCACCCTTACACATTACATACCACCTGTCAGTATGGTTTATTATCGTACGCCTTATTACCACCCTTACACATTACTTACCACCCGTCAGTATTGTGTATCACTGTACGCCTTATTACTACCTTTACAAATTACTTACCACCCGTCAGTATTGTGTATTATCGTACGCCTTATTACCACCCGTACATATTACTTACCACTCGTCAGTATTGTGGATTATCGTACGCCTTATTATACCTTAAACCTTATTACTTCAAATACATATTTCCACCCACCCCAATGCAGTGTATTTACCACCCACATACATTACTTACACATTCGCGATGGCTCCAACCATGGATTGATATTCTTTGGATTTTTCAACTCGATTTCCCCTTGTCGATGTTTGGGATCGGACGGGCTAACTTGGAAAATACGTCTAGGATAAATGTGACACAATTTGGACACGCGCCTGCTTTGTCTTTTTATTACTTACGTAAAGATCCCCCGCCAGTTGGAAATCGAAAATAAGAGTAGGCTAATGTCGCTGTCCTGACAAAATTTCCCTCATTGCACACTGCATGGCGTTTGCCCATCCTCAGTAGCCCATACAGGTGCAGAAATAGGACGTAAAACTTTATTTTATTTCATTTTTTTTTCTACGGATTTCTTATACAAACGTATGATGCTAAATTTCTAACATGGCCGAGGATCCATAACACAAGTAATTTTTACTTTAGCAACCCATTTAGACATAACATTGTTAGCCCAACTAAGAACACCACTGTATTACTTAGTGGCACAATATGAAAAAATAACTAGGATAAAATCATTATTATGGTTTGTATGCTATAAGTGTAGCAAAGGGAGATAATATCGTAATTTTAAATTACTTCCCATCGATGACTTTCTCTACTGAAGAAGTTAAAAAGGGTACCTGAATCAAAACAAATTTTTTCTGAATCTTCCATCGGATTTCGTACAGTAAACATGGCTTCAAATTAATCATTTGTGTAAAAAAATGTAGGTATCATAAAATTTCAGTAACAAATCTCGACAATTTTATCAGATAATTAGTAAAAATAGCAATGGAGTCGGGCGTAGGGAAAACTCAATCCGACTTCCCCTCCCTCTTGCTCTTTAAGGCTTCTTATTGTAGGCCCTACTTGTATTTATGGAATAGTAGTACGATACCTTAATCTTTTTCAACTTCCATCGGTAGACTAGTCCAATCGTTTGTTACTTGCTTATTATTGGAAGCATTGTAAAAAATGAGTGGCATAATGCCATTCAGAAATCATAGTGGTTGAACACTTATGACTTACTGGTACGGTAGTTATAATTCTTGAATTCAATTCTTGTAGATACCATGGCATGTGCTGCAACTTTAGTGGATGAACTAAGCATAGATACAAGTCCACCTAGCAGAGAGTCTATTACAACTGTTAAATTGTTTGTTACATCATATTCTGATGAATTTTATGCTGAAAGAGATGTCATCAAAAGAGAAGTAAGCGTACTGATACAGTCAAGTAACCTAATTTCGTGCTAACCTATTTTTCGTGCATTTCCTGAATGGATTAATAATTTACATGTGCGACCTTGCATGACCTCCGCATTTGCTTTTTTTGATTAACATGGGTTATCTCAACAATGTCAGTAGTAGAATGAATCCAGTAGTTTCAAGCAAGATAAAATGCATTAATGTATACTTTGACAAATACAAAATGGCAGATTTCACTTATTACCGAACGTCACAATTTTTTATTGGCCGAATTTCCTTATAATCCATAACTGTAATCGGAATTCCAAGTATCGTCTGCTAGAATGTAGTCCAACGAATGAAGTCACGTGATCAACTGGCGGATTCCGTTGTTGTTCTGTTATGTTGTTTCAATGACTTTTAGCAATAAATCACGCTACGTATCTTATTTTGTCAGTCACTAATTTTTCTTTTAAAAAATTTTGGTTCTTTGGAGGAATTGTCACTAGTTCTAATGAATTGATATTAAAGATAAATACAAAGAGAAGTTAATTATACCACCGGATATCCATACATTGTGTTTTTCTCAACTTATTTATAGATCAAACATTGTACACGAATATAGGTGACGCATTTTGCCGCCGTTGTCAAGTTGGTTACTCATGAAATATGAGTCAAAGTGGGGGATTCATAAAAAAAAATCTAAACAAACTAATTTTGATTATTTTGTAGAATATCTGAGGAAACATCTAAGACATAAACAAAAATTCTGTTTTTTTAACGTTGACGAAATTCGATGTTACACCACTGTACTGTTTTCTTAGGAGACCAAATTGAATTACCTTTGTATAGCGTATCAATTTTATGAAACTGGGCATTATTGAAAGCAAACGAAGGAAACAAAAAAATAAAGACTTTTATCTATGGTAATTCAAACCTAATCGATTATATCTTACAGTACATTATTTCCTAAGTAATTAAACCAATTTACTATTATTGACTGAGTATTGAGATGACTCTAAGGAAGGTAATTTTCTTGGAAGATCAGAACAATGATAATGTTCAATTTGAGACTTTTGAGATTTTAATGTTCTGCTAGTAATGATTCATAGATTTATTTTGTTATTTTATTTTTTCTAGGTTTTACCTGAAGTGAGATTATGGTGTGAAAAGAAAAAATTAAATCTTGTTGAACAGAGTGTAAAATGGGTAATATAACAAATTTATATAAAATTTATATAAAAGCAAACAGAATTTAAAAAAACTTGTTCACGTTATGTCATCTTCAGACAACTTACCTATTTTCAGCCTGCATCCCTTCTGAAGTTGGACAAGTAGAACTTATTCTCATGTCTACACTTCAAGACTGTGCTGTATTTTTTCAGGGTGGAAGACATCCAGATTGTCGAGAAGTTGGTGAAATGGAGAAAGTTCAAACTAGTATAGAGAATTGTTATTACAATAATATAATGCCATTGTTTATCAATTTAACTAGGTAAGTTTATTCATTATAGAAAGGTAAATTTGTTTGACTATAATTAGCATAATTATGATTTTGTTGTAGTGTTCTTTAAATAGAAGAATTATGTAGATCTCATATGAAGGTGTTGAGAATTAACTCTAAAAATTCCAAATCCTAGCTTAATTTTCTAATATTGGCCACATTTAATGGAACATTCAAAACTTATCAATTGCCACTAGTTAGGTTCTTTCATAAATGAATGAATGAAAAAAGACATGGTAAAAAAGGCAGACAAATATAAAATTTTGAGACACACCTTGAAAATACCTATAAATTTTATTAGCAATAATCATTGTGTATTTTGGTTATTGTAGTGAATCAATTGGATGGGTACCAATGTGGGGTGAATATTCTGATGAAGTTATAGAAGATTATATTGAAGCCTATGGTTTATTAGTGGAAGATTTAGAAGTTTTATATGGAGCATATAGAGATGATAATCATAATTGTATGTATTGCTTATTTTAAATCCTTCCTCAACTATTTTAATACTTTTTTTATATTAGCCATCATAGGTAGATCTGAGGCTTGTAAATAAAATGTCATTGAATTTCCCAAATTATTAAAAAATGCGAATTTCATACCTACAACATAGATCTACAG